TCTTGTAGTCAAAGCTGGCGCTTTCAACTTTCATTGCTAAGTTGAAATCATTAGCTTTTGGGTTTTGACAGTTTGTTCAATGTTGCCATGATCATGGATTGGTTCTCATTTTTGTTTTTTGAAGGCTTCAAGGATTTTGGGGTCTCGGGTTATGAAGTTGGTGAACATTGTTGTCTGCATGCTGTTCCCAAGCCATACAACAAACAGGTTCCCACAGCGTCCTCCTCCCAAATCCTAATCCCCACACCCTAAACTCCGCAGGCCTCCAACTTTGGCTGTCACGCTTGCGCGTGTCAGTCAGGCCGGGGTTCGAGCTAAGGGGTTTTAGGGTTTAGGGTTTGAGGTTTGTAGGGTTCAGGGTTTAGGGTTTAAGGGTTTAGGGTTTGAGGTTTGTAGGGTTCAGGGTTTAGGGTTTAACGGTTTTAGGGTTTAGGGTTTGAGGTTTGTAGGGTTCAGGGTTTAGGGTTTAAGGCTTACAGGGTTTAGGGTTTAAGGTTTGTAGGGTTCAGGGTTTAGGGTTTAAGGCTTTCAGGGTTTAGTGTTTTTAGGGCTCAGGGTTTAGGATGTAGCTTCCATATGGGCTGCTGTCTGGACATAGGGATCCCTTTGCTAGTTCAGTATGGTCCCTAGTATATTTCCTCCCAAGGAAACCATGTCCGTGAACTATCTGGGAAATCTTGACCGTAGCTAATATGCATAATGGGAAGCTTCTACAGAGTTTAGGGCTGTACTTTCCATAAATACTGGGAAATTGATGATCAAGAAATCCTGAGCGTAGGGCCTGGTCAACATTATTTTACACAGGGAGAGTTAGCCCTAAACCCTAGATTCTAGATTGCAATTTCACTTGAGGCTTTGAGCTTGATGTACATGATATTGAAATTACACGACACAACTGAAGCTAGAAACGCAAGTGAGCTTTGAGTTTTAGGGTTTATAGTCCCCCTTAAGTAGATAGCATATGGCTTTGGGTCCCTATATTCTATCTACTTAAGGGGGACTGTAGTGTTTGACTTGGGAGTTGAAGAGACGAGATGATTAAAATGCTCAGTTGGTTGTACTTACTACCACTGCTTCCGAAGTCGACTTAGTGCAAGAACAGGATTGATGATAGTGATGTGGATAGAGAAGGGTTTAACAATAGTGGTTGAATAGCAATTAGACGTAGGAGAGCCAACCGCAAAATCGAGCACTTGCATACTTGCCATGAGCCATAATCTAAACTCTTTTACAGGCGGTTATACAAGGGATTTTATAGGGGAGTATTGAAGGGTTTATTAAGGGGGATACTAGGGGTTTAGACTACACCTCCCATTGATTTCTGCTGAGAAGGGTGGCAAGCGCGGTAGCCGCCTTCATGAGCCTGGTCAGGTATACGGTATGTACTTAAAGCCAAGGGGGTTCCCCTATAACTACTTGAGGCCCAAGTACAGACTATATGGCTACATGGACTCTTTGGTGCAGCCCCCGCGCTCCCAACCCCCCGCCCCGCCACGCCGGGGCGCCTGAGTTCTGTTCCTTTTGGGCAGGAGAGAAGTTCCTCTGCTCGCCCATAACGAAAGGATCTGCCTTTTCAAAGTGAAGGGCCCTGTCGGGAATCTGGGCATGTATGAGGATTACAAAAGGGTTGCCGGCGCCCCCACCCAGGATTCTATGGGGATGCTTTGCGGAACTTCCCGTATGACCACGCCGTCAATATGTCCGCACAAAACTGCCCTTGGTGTTATCAGCACTCCCTTGTGCTAAATCAGATGGGCTGTAGTCTAAGCTCTTAGTATCCCCCTTGATAACCCCCAGAATGCTCCCCGATATAATCCCTTATATACCCCACTTGAGGACCTTAGACTGTAGCTCAAATGCAGTGGAGGACCCGAAAATGTACTTCCCAATGCCTCCCCCTAATTCACCCAACAGAACACCGGGGTCCATGCTGGGCGTAGGGTTTTGGGTTTGGGGCTTAGGGTTGCTTAAAGCCTAAACCCTAAACTGTGTCTTAGATCTAGAAGAGGTCTGCACACGGACGGTCAGAACGTGCTTGCTATGACTGAGACACGACTTGGAGTTGTCTTCGCTACAGTTTCTTGGGTTCCCAAGCGTCCATGTATGCATATAGTATATTAGCCTTTAATAATACTTAAAGCCCAAAGAGTTTCCTTTATAGCTACCTTGGGGCCCAAGTATATTATGTACTAGAGTTTAGGTTTTAAGGTTTAAGGACCTGTATACTCCATAGCTACACTGACCCTTTGGGTTCAGAGGCTGAGGCTGCTTAGCCCCGACATTTCAGGATTTAGCGTTTTGGGGTTTGGAGTTTAGAGATGCTTGCTAGAGATTTCAGTGTGCAATTTACCAGTTCCAGTGTGCATTCAGGGACCCTAGGGTTTAGGGTGTGGGAATATAGGGGTTTAGGATTCAGGGTTTAGGGCTTTGGGTTTAGGGATATACCCACTGCCCCTGCCAGCGAACAGTTTTTCACAGGATGAATCCAGCGGGTGGTAGGAAACCACGATGTGAACAGGCTCTAGGTGTTACTGGGTGGTGGCAGTATCCAAGATACACCCATACCTTCAAGTCCCTATAAACCCCCAGCTGCCTTCCCATATATCCCTACATAACTGACACTGCTTAACCCTGTGAAGCCTAACCCGAGACATACCCCTGTCTGCGTCTGCACGGGCGACAGGTGCCGTGGCAAAGCTTCCACGGCGGCAGTTTCGATCGGAACAACCGGAGTCCCAGCTGCAGGCGTGGACAGAATCCGGGACCTAAGCAACACGGGTTGCTGCATCTGTAGTGTGGCGTTTTATAATACCTGTACTAAAGGGCTTCATAGCCGAGTATTTGCTAGCTTTGCCTTTTCTCATCGCTTTTTTGTGGGCAGTTCATATAGAGTTTGTGTGGATATAGAGGAGTTAGAGTAGGGTTACCCTAGGTAGGCGTTCGGGATGAGAAGGTGTAGAGGTGGGTGGGTCTCAAGGGCCTTATGGGCGCCTAGAGCCCCACTTCGAACTGCCTGCCAACGTCCAAACAGAGCTTGGAGTCGTTAGCGCTTGTGTTGACTCCGCTTGCATCTAATTAAGTCACTAAAATCACCTGCCTCGAATACTAAAAACCCCCACCCCCCCGCCCCCCCCCCAATAATAGGGGGCATGGAGGAGGCCATGATCTGCCCTAAACCCTAAACACTACATAATATGGTTGTTTCCATATGGGTGGTTGTCAAAATTATGGTCCCTTTCTGGGTACCCTAAATATTAGGTGCCATATCATAATAGGGATCCAAAAGGGACCGTAATTTTGACAACCACTAATGGCATTTGAGCCCTAAAACCCTATTATTTGGGTCCTTGGATCCCTAAACCCTAAACCCTATATATCCCCCTAGAACCCCTTTAAAGGGACCCTATTATTTAGTTTTGGCAACCACCCATATTCTTTTTTTCATTGCCCTAATGGTTTGTCTGGAAGAAACTCCGCTCCAGAAAGCTCCCTTCCCATGCAATGGCTTTTCTGGGTTGCTGTTAAGGAACTTAAATTAAGTTACCATAATGGGTATATAATTATAGTAAATAATAGGGTTCCCCCAATATAGTAACTTAATTTAAGTTCCTTAACAGCATTCAGTATGGGATTGGCGGAACGAATTCCGGTAGCAGTCCGTGTATAATCCCCCAGCAACCGTCAATCTTTTCAATAAAGCCTACTGTGGCACTTTCTTTAGTAAGGCCCCGCTTTACTCGTACAATAGGGCCTCCACCTAAACCCCAAACCCTTAGGTCGTTCTCAATAAGGGCTCCTCATGTTCTGAGTCATACAGCTCAGATAGGGGTTTTTGAGCCTCGAGCCTTTCAAGCTTCAATGAAAAATAGGATTGAAAACTTGTCCTGTATCATTTTTAGGGGCCCAAATCCAGAACGCATTAAAGACAGTCGTGAAACAATAGGCCGAAACTCTTTATGCGGCAGCCGAAACTCAATAAAGAGAGACTCTGGGCAAGAGTGAGCGCAACATTAAAGACCCTAAACCCTCATTGGCCCATCCCGTGCTTATGGGGTGGCGCTGCTTGTTCTTTGTGCCAGTTTGACCTTTGTGTCGCGTATGGGGTGTTTCCAAGAATCTTCTTATGTTGGCCGCATACACTGCCACATAGGAGGAAAGGAACCCTCTAAACCCTAAAAGCCCTAAAACCTCTAAACCCTATCAACCCTATAAACCCTAAACACTAAACTCTGAACCCCATACCCCAAACCCTAAACCCTATAAACCCTAAACCCTGTATACTGTCTGTGCGAGGTAATCCTGCGTGCTGCCCGCACCTACAAAGATCCCGGCCTGAAGCAAACCGTGGCCCAGCACTCGGTTCAGGTTGTAGGGTTTATAGGATTTAGGGTTTAGGGTTTGTAGAGTTTTTAGGATTTAGGGTTTTTCGAGTTTAGGGCGTTTAGGGTTTAGGGTACTTTGGGTTTATAGGATGTAGTGTTTTTAGGGTTGAGCGTTTATGGCTGGGGGTTTATAGGGTTTAGGGTTTAGGGTTCATGGCTTGGGAAGAGGACTCAGATGGACTTGGGGGTATCACCCCAATAACGGAGAATCGGACAAGAAAAAGGATAATGAAATGGAAGCTGAGCTTATATATGGGTGCTATAGGGTTTACATGTCGTAACCCCAGGCCTTCGAATACGGACCCTATGGCTATCATATTTGACGCGCATACAGAAGAAAGCGACGAGTTGGAGAATCCGTATCTCCTATCTTGAGGCTTAGTGTTTAGGGGGGGAGTATAGCATGACAAACTTGTAGTACCTGCCACATTGGAACTACACCCTGAACCCTAATCCCTAAAACCTACAAGGGTCCTGGAGCAACACCACGCAGTAAGAATGGAGAAGCATTCAACCCCGGACCAATCCTACATGAGGCCCTACACGGCGCCTTGGGGTAAGTAGTCAAGCATTACACAAAAGTGTTGTTTGTGCATTTATGTCAGCAGTTATCCTCGTGTCTAGTATTGGCATTCATGTTATGCACGCCCTAAACCCTAAACCCTAAACCTTAAACCCTAAACCCTAAACCCTAAATCCTAAATCCTAAACCCTAAGCCCTAAACCCTGAACCCTAAACCCTAAATCCCAGCATGTTGCTGCTCGGAGCTGGCTTGCTTTTTCCCCAAATTGAAGGTTTGGGGAGACGACAAGGAATATCTGGAAACCCCCAAGTGCCGGGGAGCATTCCCAAAGGGTCCATGTACCCAATAATTAGGTACTTGGGTTTTGGGGCAAGTGTATGATTATTTGGTACTTGGACTTGGACCCTTAGGGATTAGTATTTGCAATCATTCCCCCTGCCCGCATATAATTTCATGTTCCATGTCTTTGTTTGTTTGCCCTTTCATTTGCATCTCCATTTGTTTCCTGTACCCCTCTTAACTACGATATCTACCTCATGTTGGCCCGGCCCGTTGCTGTTTCTACACCCTAAACCCTAAAGCCATTGCAAGATTCTGTTCTTCAGCTTGCCCGGAAGCCCGTGAAATCCCAAAGGTGCATGGCGGAAAAAGGTGTGAACTCTTGCAATACATGAGCCTCAATTCTCATCGTTTCCTCAACATCTCTTTTGCAGCTATATGCCGTATCCACCCACAAGAAACGGCTACGCAGCACATTGTCAACCATAAATCCACACTTGCAAGCCTGAAGGTCTAAGTCCTAAATCCTAAATACCGTGAACTCTACGCCATTTAGCTTACACCTTGCGCCCGACCTTCTGAACGCTCGAATCCTAAGCACTCATCCTTAACCCTGGATCCCATCTGACAAGTTTCAAAAAATCTTCAGTAGAAAAGAAGAGAATCCGTTTATCATCCCAACATATCCCTGTGAGACGTAAAGCCCAAAATATTGAGCAGTTTCCGGCTGTTCGCTTCCTGGTTTCCTTAATTAGGGTTTAGGGTTGATCTAGGACTCCCTAAACCCCAAACCCTAAACCCTTAACCAACCAGGAACCAAAGTGCATTTAGTCTCTCTTCTCGCGAAGGCCAAAGAGAAATCTATCAGCAACAATTCTATACATTGTACGATCATATCCCGAAAATATGATATGTGGTAGCTTCCATAAAGAGACGGACCCCAATATAGACCCGCATAGTGGACCCCCAAATTTTGGGAAGCCCTAAGCCCTGCATATCTTTCATATCCCTACGATGTCCTTATCAAACACTACTAAAAGCTCTTTGTGACCCTAAGCCCGAAAGCCTAAATCTGCAAGACCCCTGAAGCCCTATCCCTGCTGTATTTTGTTGTAAACCCTAAACCCTAAACCCTAAAACCCTGAACCCTAAACCCTAAACCCTTACGTAAACCTTAAACCCTAAACCCCCTAAACCCTAACCACTAACTCCTAAACCCTAAACCCCACCGAGGCGAGACCAGAGCTTCCTCTCAAGCGCCACGCGAAGGATCTGTACCTTCCCAAGGACAGTTTTGGGGGGTTTAGGGTTTAGACGTTAGGGGTTTAGGGCTTAGGGTTTTAGGGTTTAGGGGTTCAGGGGTTCGTGGTATCAAGCTTAGGGGTTGGGGGCTTGGGGTGTGACAGGCAGTTGTTGGGGTTTGGGGTTTGGATTTTTTGATTGGAAGAAGGGCAGCTCAGCGCGGCCAGGAGACTTGATGGGTTTAGGGTTTAGGGTTTAGGGTTAAGGCTTAGTGGGCCTGAAGTCATGCAGAACTAAGGCCTGGAAGAGAAAAGGTCCAAATCAAGGGTTAGGGTTTAGGGTTTAACATTAAACTCCCTAAACCCTGCTACGTCCTTAGTTTCCAATGCACACGATTGGTGAGAAGAACGCAGATAGCGGCAGGCCAGTTCATTTCAGTAGCTCCAAAGTGGGTAGGGTTTGGGGTTTTAGGGGTTTAGGGTTTAGGGAGCTTTCCCACAAGCCTTACACACCAACCCATAATCAAAGACCTTAAGTTTGTACCCTTCATGTTTGTAGCCCTAGGTTTTGGGCCCCAAATAACAAACCCAAAGGGGGCAAAGGAAAACTCCCTGACATAAGCCTCTGAGTAATTTAAAGCTTACAAGTATGGGCCCCTAATATAGGCCCTTAGGCCTTTTAGGGGGATTTTAGCGACCCGTAGGGGTACATACAGGGTATACAGTAGGTATATATACGGATTTCAGGGTTGAGGCCCCATACAGGGGGCCGTGCTTTCAACCTTAGACAGGTCCGTATGTGAGCACTACCGAGACTAAACACCTTATAGCCGCCCACCTGAGGTTGTAAAACAGCCCCTCCTGAAGCCTCAAAAGTCTTGAACATGTGAAAGGACTCACCAAAACATGGGCCTTCAATGTCTTGGGAAAGCATCAACATGTATCCATGAAGACTATATATATATGTATATATCTCTCTCTCTCTCTCTCCCTCTCTCTCTCTCTCTCTCTCTCTCTGTCTCTCTCTCTCGCTCTCTCTCTCTCTCTCTCTGTCTCTCTCTCTCTCTCTTGTTGGTTCTTAGTAGGGTAAGGGAATAAATCTGGGAATATAATCCTTATACAACCCCTGTAATATATATTTCCGTCTTCCCTACTAAGAACCAGGGATAGATAGATAGATAGATATATATATATACATATATCCCAAATAACCCGTTTTAAACTCCCTTCGACCTGCTCCTTGCTGGTCATTAGTGGGGAATGGAGTAGTGGACCCCGGTAGCAGCCTTGATACAATTGGGTCTAGGGTTTGGGGCTAACCACGACCAAAAAGCAAAGCCTAAACCCTAAGTCCTTGAACCCTGCAGAACCCTATAAACCCCACTTTCCCAGTGGAATAGGCAAGGTTAGCCCGCATAAGTGGGTTGCTGTTCAGGAAGTACATAAAGCTGCCATGACATTGGTACATAGAAAATGATAGGGTTTCCTTATTATAATAACCTAATTCAAGCTCATTAACGGCAACCCAGATGAACCACTACAGAATCACAGTATCCGTTTTATTAGCGTTTTGCTTTTCCGTTAAATTCGAAAAAAACCCTAAACCCTGAACGATATCCAGAATAACCCACCAGTAAGCCTAGGGCTGACTGAGATTGCACAACCCAAGCCTTGAATCCCAAACCCTAAACCTTAAACTTTAATCCCTAAACTCTGAAACCCAACCAATAAAGCGGTTTAGGGTCTAGGGTTAAACCCTGAACCCCAAACATTAGACCCTAAACCCTGATTCCCAGACCCTAAACTCCGCCCCTAAACCTTAAACCCTAAACCCTAAACCCTCAAACCTAAACCCTAAAACCTAAACCCTCAAACCTAAACCCTAAACCCTAAACCTGCGGAGGAGCCGCTACCAGCGCTCCTGCAGATACCTCCAGGAGGAGGAAGATGTCAGGCTCCATGGTGTGGAGTTTAAGGTCCCTTTAAAGGTGGCCACAGGGATTCTACAGGGGGTATATATATATATATGTATATATGTGGGTTAGGGTTTAAGAATTAGGGATTAGGTTTAGAGTGTAGGGTTTGGGTTTTGAATCTTTGGGGTTTGGAGTTTAGAATTTGGCTTTTAGGGTTTTGAGATATTGCTGCTCCATTGATAAGCAATCAACTGGCAAACGAAATACAAGGTTTGGGGTTGTGGGGTTTAGGGTTTAGGTAAGGGGTCTGAGGCTTGAGTCTGAGGGCTAAAGATTTAGTGTTTTAAATCTACTGTTGAGGGTTTTGGGTCGGTTGTCTAGGATTTCAGCTTGAGAGATATAAGCGGATTTGATGCTCTAGATCGGGATTCTCTCAGCGATTCTAGAAACGATGTGGGGATAGTAGCGTTTGTTTTCTTTGTTCGGGTCCCTTTGGATGGTCCACGGATTGCTTTGAGCAACTCACCTACGGATATGTACAGCCAAGAATCCACGTCCAGCATTCGAAGTATTTCATACACCAATAACGTTTCTGAAAAATCCCAGGCCACCCCTACAACGGGCCTGCTCTAAGCCCTAAGCCCTAAACTACGGCTCGTGTGTGCCTCATCGCTATCAAACTCCTCTGCCCCTCCAGAGAAAGTAGATTCGCGGTTAGGGTTTAGGGTTATCCCCGGGGGTGGTTAGAATCACCTTGTAAGGCATTGCATTCCCGATGATCCCTTTTGAAAGGACCTCTAGAGCAACCCCCGTGTACCCTTTCTGACAATGCTTCTCGAAACGAGAGCGAGCTCAAGAAGCTAGAGCTCAGCGTGGCCGAAAGGCACACCCTCGCATCAAGAGTACTTGTACCTGGTGGAGTATCTTGAGCAGACGCCCCATGTCACAGAGAAGGCAGGTCAAGTCCCTCCCCGTGATCTAGAGCGTCGCCTCCAGCAAGGGCCGGATGGGCTGCAGGATGGTCGCTGAATGTAGTTTTGGTAGTTGCTGCGTACTGCTGTAGCGAGCTGTATGCCGTAAGTTGTCAAAGGCGCGCTTGCGCTGTTATGGTCAACTTGTCGCTGCCAGTGGGCGTATTTCCGCTCCAGCTGCTATGTTGAAGTGCATGGCGTTCCCTGGGTCATTACTTTGCGGACACAAGTCCTGAGTAGTGGCCTTCTGACAAGCCGTCATTACGACCCGTCAGAGTGCGAGAGAGAGAGAGAGCTTCTCTGAACCCAAGACCCTCAATTTTCCAGCAGAAGAGCCACACCCAAAACCCCAACTCTCTAAACCGCATCAACCCTAGATTCAAAATCCTGCAAAACCATAAGCCTTTCATCCGAATCTTGAAGCCGAAGATTCCTCTTATAAGCCATACACACCTTATGAACCCTGTAAACCCTAAAGAGCCTTTTCCCTGTCATTTGTTCATTTACTGATTCTCTGCGTAGTCCTGAAACCCCACCTACCCCACGAATCCTATGAACCACCCGATAAGCTCTATAAACTCCAAGTCCGCTTCCAACCTTATAAAGCCTAAGACTTTATCTAAACCTTTCATCCCAAAACTTAATTAAGCTTTGTGAGCCCTACCCTAAACCCAAAACCCTAAGCCCCTAAACTCTATGCTAGAAGCCCTTTCAATAAGTCCTAACAACCCTGTCAGCTTCCACCTGGAGTCTCAGGGGAAGCTTTGTGAGTATGCTTATAACCGCTACAAGCCATGCGATGGTCCCAGTTCTCCTCAGTATTAACCTACTTACCGAGTCCCCCTGGCCTTAACCCCCAAACCCTAAACCTTAAAACCTACCCTGAACCCCAAACCCAAAACCCTGAACCTCAGACCCTTAACCCTAAACCCCTAACCCTAATCCATAAACCGTACCTACTTGCCAAGACCCGTGACCATACAAGCAAAGTTGCAGGCCCTCTGGGCCTTGCCCGGCGGTGGCCGGCGCAGCGCCCAACGCGAGATTCCGAGTCGAGCCTTGGAGGCGGGTTTGGGGTTTGTAGGATTATTAGGGTTTATAGGGTTTAGGGTGCAGGATTCAGGGTCTAGAGTTTACAGTTTAGGGTTCAGGATTTGGGGTTGAGGGTTGGGAGGATTCGGATTTAGGGTGCAGGATTTAGGGCTTTGGGCTTTAAGATTGCTGTTCAGGAATTCGGGCTTAGGATTTGGGTTCGGGTTCGTAATGCTTATGAAATATATACAGGGTTTAGGGTTGATAGGATCCACAAAGGTGCCAGGGTTCATGGGATTTAGGGTGTAGAGCTACGGCAGGTTAAAAAGATTTTGGACCTCACCCTAAACATGAACCCTAAAACCCGACTTATAGGCCAGGTGTTATGGTTTATGGAGTGAGCGATTGGGGGTTTTGGGGTTTCAGGCTTTGTGGACTTCAGCATTTAGGGTTTAGGGTACTGGTGTGAACCTCTATACCAGTAGCCCAGGGCTGTGTACCTAAGATGTTTGTATGATTACCTTGAAGGGTATGACGCGTACAAGCTTACTCTATGCTGCCAGACAGACCAAGTTGTCCCTGCCCTCAGTTGAAGACGCGGACTCCGACTTTGAAGCTGAGGATGATGAGAGCCACTTGTTTCGCTCCGTTGAGCGGCGGGCGCCACTGAGAGCCTTTGTGGAGACCCAGGTGGCACACGGACCAGGCTTTTCCAAATTCTGTGCAGAGGCACAGAAAAGATCCAAGGCTTCAGGTATTACTGTAAGGTACCCTAAACCTTACGCCCCCAAACCCTAAAACCTTAAATCCTGAACGATTGAGGGTTTTGCGATTCAGGGGTTTGAGGTCAAGGTACACGGCTTAGGGGTTCGGGGTTTAAGGTTTAGGGTTTGGGGTTTAGGGTCTGGGGAGTTAAATGCTTAGCCGTTAGGTTCTAACCAGACAGGGTTTGGTTTAGGTCTTCGGCTTCTCCGCCAGAAGTAACTTTGGCGTGTGTGTCTGCTGGGCTTGGCCGGGGAGATGAGTATACCCTTGCCCCCTTTTTGGTGGGGGCATGCAAGTTTGGATTTGGTGTATTTTCACCTGAGGATCCAGACTAGCTACTAGATAGGGTCCCAGGTTTCAAATCCTAGCGGACGCACCACACATCTCCTAAACCCTATAGTCCCCGTTAAGTAGATAGAATATGGCTACGGGTATATTATAAGAATATCCCCATATGGTAGTTTCCCAAAATACCCCTAATTTTGGGAAACCCCCATATAGCCCATACTCTATCTACTTAAGGGCCAGCATATTCCTAGCAAGATCCTTAAGGGCTCAGCTGAAAGGCCGAGGATGGCCTGGGTTTAGGGTGTAGGGTTGAGGGCTTAGGGTTTAGGGTTTAGGGCTTAGGGTTTAGGATTCAGGGTTTAGGGCTTAAGTATTGCCATGTTCTCCGTACCATGATACTGCATCCACAAGATCCATGGACCAATGGTGATCATGATGCATGTTCTTGCTAGCGTAATGGTTTATGTTGTTCCTAGCAAGGGTTTTCTTGCATCATTCCAGAAGCTCTTGGATAAGATTAGGCTTTCGGCCTAAAAGGTTAGAGTTTAGGGTTGAGGGGTTGTCGTTGCAAAGGCACTGGGAAGTCAGCGGCCATCTGACCATTAGTTAAAACAGCACGTACGGTTGGAGTATGATATGAGCTATAGTCCAAACTCCTCCAAGGGCGGATTTTATAGTGGACTACTATAGCTGTTATTAAGGGGATACTAGGACTGCAGACTATAGACATGAAGGTTATGTTATGCTTGCTAGGTGACATCAAAAGGTGCCCTGCGGTGTTGGAACGTCTTTGTCACTTGAAGGGGTGTGGGGGTTAAGGGTTTAGGGTGCAGGTTCAGGGAATATTGGGTTTTTGGGTGTAGGGTGTAGGGAATATTAGGGCTTCAGGTTGTTCACTTTGGAGTTGTTTTTCCACAGGCATCCCGAAATATTCCTCCGCGCTTGTCCCGCGCAGCCTTGGAAGTAACACCCAACTTCGCGCCGCGACCCTAATTCTCATCATCATTCCAGCCCAACTAACCTGGAAGGACAGCAGTCTATGTAGGCATCGTTTCAGGTTCTATCAGTTTGCTGGAGGGGTTTGTATCTCAGAAATCCCATATCTGAGTGCAGTCGGACCCTAAACCCTAAACACCCTTAACCGTGAACCCTACAATAAACCCTGAACCCCGCACCCTCAGACCTAAAAACCCCAAGCCGTGAACCCTAAATGCTCAACTTGAAAACCCGTAGACATGGAGCCTGAAACTTGAGCCCCTAGAAGCATATCCTCTCGGCATAAGGCCCTTATCTGTAAACCCTAACCCCTAAACACACAAAACAAGAGCCCAGAGACTTCCTTCCGTTAGGTGAAGTACAGCTAGTGTTTAGGGTTTAGGGATATGCAGAGCGCTTCGGGGTCTAGGGATTTGTGTGCTTAGGGTTTCTGGAGTTGGGGATTTATGGAGTTTTTGCATATTCCTCCGGAATTTTCAAGTCGGCTACACACATACAGATCCAACATAGGTTGCAGCAGCGGCAATGGCAAGAGTGCGGCCGGCAAGTTTGTGCTTATTGTTAAGAGGCTCAGGGCTGAATCTTCGACAGGCTAGCAGGGGGTCAGACGTGAGCTGTCCTTCCAAAAGGGTACATATGACTGTATAGTATATACTTGGGCCCTACAGTACTTGTATGGGAACCCCTTTGGGCCCTAAGTATATACTATACAGCTACATGGGCCCCTTAGGCTTCTGAATGAAGATTGAAACGATGGCAATCCCGATTCTAGACCTGCTTCCAACGAGCCCTAACGCTCCACGTAACAATCCGCTACTTGGAGGGGCAGGGGACTTAGTAATTATCAGCCCTATGAGCCAAATGATGACCCATCCCTGCAGTAAGTCCGCTACAGTGCCTTTGGAGGGGTGAAACTACTGATCTCCAGTGGAAATGTAGCCACGCACATCATGAGAAGGGACCGTGCAGGAAATTTGCAAAATGTCCTAAACCCGAAACCAACAGAATCCTGAATGGGGACCCCTATGGTCAGATATACGCCTAAGATCCCTGCAGGCACCGCTGTTTTAAACACGTTCCAAAACCCTGAACTTGATGTACCCCCTAAAAAGGGTTTAGGGTTTAGAAGCACCCATGTTTAAACCCTAAGCCCCTAAACCCTAAACCCTAAGCCCGAAACCCTAAATCGCTTGCGTTGCATGGGCTCAGCTTGCTGGCAAAGCCACCCTACCTGACAATCAGGGGGCACCATGGTTTCTTGGCTCTCTCTAAGGGTCCAAGGACCCAAATAGTGGGGTTCCTTTAAGCAGGATATAGGGTAATTTGTAGGGATGTGAAGGGATAATATAGTGCTAAGGGTCCCAGGACATCAGGGGTATAAGTCCCAAATACCATTCAGATTGTAGTATTCGGGCGCTAAAGCTCCATGATTCGAGTCCTTGGACCCCAAGTGTTCATGTAAGTTTGTTGTTTGGGTGTGTACGGTTTAGGGTTCAGCTCCTCCACAGTAGCGACGATTCTTCGATTTGTTGGGGTCCTAGATGCCTTACGAGGCTACGAGTGGGTTGACAGGGAATACGGAAGGGCTGGCACTGTGTGGCAGGGTCGTTTGGGATTCTGTACTGACCATGAGCAGCTGGATTTTCAATTTAAAGCTTTGTCGGAGATATGAAGGATTTCTGTAAGAAACATGTGACCTCCTGCCGCGAGTTCCGTAGGTTTGGCTCTTGGGGGCTTATGTGAATAAGTGTTCCATGGTGTTCTGGCAAATTTTCTGGGGACTCGGCACTTACTGAAACGGCTGCTATAGCACCCACTTTTGGCATGAATCCTGCACTTGCAATCCAACCTTTGAGGTTGATCGAGCTAGATGTGGACAGGGGGTAGTCCCAAAACAAGGGTTCCCTTACTTCTTGGACCCCTAAATCCTAAACCCCATAACCAAGATTATAGCATTTGGGGTCTATAGTTGGGGTCCCCCTATCCATGGAAACCAGGCCTACCCTTACTGGTCCATGACGGCGACGTTTTGGAGCCTCATGACCCTACATCCCACCCTACCCACCCAAAGGATCCTGAGTACCTATATGGGCTACAGTCTAAACTCCTTAAAGGGTTCTGAGGGGATTATATAGGGAGCTACTATAGGGGTGATGAAGGGATACTAGGAGTTTAGACTATAGCTCATATGGTTTGAAATAGGGTTTATATACTAGCAATTAGGAAGTTTTGTTTAGCTTAGTATCCCTGCATAGGTACTTGAGGTCCTTTGGGCCGGAGGCCCATACCGTTTACACTTGCTGTCGTGATCCTAAACCCTAAGCCCGAGACCCTAATCCTTAAATTCTTTTACCTAATCCCCAAACCCTAAACCCAAATCCCTACATCCAAAGCCCAAATCCCTGAACCCTAATGCATAAACCGTGGCAGTCAGGGTGTAGTTTTCTGGCTATGGAGTATCCTTGCAGCAAAATCCAAGGCACGCGAGAAAACTACGCCTTGCACGAAACCTTTGATCTAGGGTTTAGGGTTCAGGGTTTAGGGTACTATATCCTAAACTCCTTACAAGGGGGTATATAGGGGAGTATTGTAGGGTTATTCAGGGAACATTAGGAGTTACTACGGCTGCTTTCCTGAACCCTAAGCCTTCAGCCCTTAATCCTAAACTTCTAGACAACTAAACCCCCTTGCGTAATTCCAAATCCCTATAACCCCTAATCCGTAAGCCCCAATCCCTATACCCTAATCCCAAAACCCTAAACCCTAAACCCTAAACCTTCAAGGCTCGCGCCAGCAGCGTTGCATGCCTTCTGACCTGGACCCTGGGTGCCCTGGCCCAGGTTGAAGTCAGGTTGAACCTTGGCATTTTAGGGTTGGGGAATTTAGGGGTTTAGGTTTTAGGGATTAGGGATTAGAGTTTAGGGATTGGGGAATTTAGGGTTTACGTTTTAGGGATTAGGGATTAGAGTTTAGGGGTCGGGGTTTAGGGTTTAGGGATTAGGGTCTAGGACCTAGGATTTAGGGGTTAGAGTTTATGGGTTCGGGGGGCTGTTGGGGTGTGCCTGGAGGTTCGTGCGACTTAGCAACTACTTCTAGGTCACCTTACTCATTACCCTCGCGAACGGCCTTGTAGGGACTACAATAGCCCAAATAGACAGAATGTAAAAATGAGCAGGCTTCCAACTCCAGTTATAAACCAGCCGCGCGCGTCGGACGGCAGCATCATCAGCAAAATTGGACACCATTTTGGAGAAGTGCATAAATCGGTGGCAAGTGTTTTTTTTGGGCGAATTTCTGGAGTTTGAAGATGGTTTGTTGCGCCCCAGCAGACCCTGATCCGAAAACACACACACACACATAATAAAACCAGTCGCGGTTTAGGGTTTAGGGTGTAGGGTTTAGGTGCGTGTGAACGTCTAGCCGATGGCGTGGAAGTGGGCTCAGATGGCTTTCTCGGACGTGGGAAGTTCCAGCAAAGCGCACCCGGCTCGCGAAAAGGAAGGTCTCCGCCTCCTCAGACCATCCAACACGCCCCCAAAGGTCGGCGGATATTTGAGGGCTTGGCAGGTCCAACAGTCAGGGAAAGTGGCCCTGAACCCACCCAAAAAATCAAGGAAAGCTGGCTTTAAAGCCTGAACCTCAGCAATCAATGATGGGCTCCGCCACCACCCCACCTATTTCACCTCCCTAGGTCCCCCCTAGTTATCCTTAGATAACCGTAGTAGGGGCGAACCAGGGGGGGTTGCATAGGGAGTGTGAGGTAGTAGGGGAACCTTGCCATAAATCAAGGAAAGTCGGCATGGAGCGGGAAGTCGCCTCCAACACTGGAGTCTACGTGGCAGGCAGCTTTCGCTAACCCTGAAACCTACACATCAGGTGGAGCCCCCACCTTAGAATAGTAATCAGTGACTCTAGGGGATCATGGTGAGTATATTAGGACACTCCATAGTATTCCTAGTATACTACTATCGTAGTTTCCCAACATAGAGGAGCCCGATATAGACACTAATATATTGTGATCCTTATTACAGAACCCCCAAAAAGGTACCCCTAAGTTTGGGAAACTTCCCTACATTACAGGGTGGGAGTCCACCTAAGCTGTATCCTTCTACGTGGTAGGCAGCTTTCAAGACTGGCAGCCCAACGCCACCCAGCTGATGGACGCTCATGGCCAAGGTGGCTATGAAGCAACAGTGGTTAAAGGGTACTAAATGGGTTTGGGGTTGAGGGTTTAGGGTTTTGGGAATAGGGTGATATATAAGGGTATGAAGGGGAACAATGGAGCATCCAATGGAAATTGGCATGGGAATTGGTTTCGCATAGAGGTCTGTCGGGGTGCAGAATTACCAACATGATGCTTCTAGATTCCTCGTACACTTATGGTGCAGGGTACCTCAAATAGGGTTCTACACAAGATTGGTAATCATGCGCGCCCCTGTATTAGAAAGGCACGAATAATCATCAACGCACATGAAGAGAAAACGAGTGTTAGCAGCCAAATCGCACGTGCACTACCACGAACCGCCTGCCAGGACAGCACAGTGAGTTGAAACAGAACCCGCAGTATCCGTAAGCATTGAGATTATGCACGTAAAGAAAAGAATTGGGACGTACAGCAGCTGGACAATACTTGAAGACAGGTAATAGGACTGATTTACATACAAGGCGTAGTTATTATGGTAGTCGTGGCGAAGGCATCTATGAAGTGGTGTTGAACCTCAGCGCCGGCTTCCACGAGTTCAAGTTCATCAACAGCAATACCTGGGAGAATGTCGAGGAAGTGCCGTTTGGATGCAGCGAGCAGCAATCGGGGCACTTCAATCGCTACCTTTCCATACCAGATGGTGCGACTTCATTTGAGTATCACGTTTGCTTCAATGCCTGCGAGCCTTGCAACCAATTGCCTCCTTGCAAGCTCTTCACATGTCCAAGCTGGATGCTTCACCGGCCAGAAGCACTGGATCTCATCGCTACAACCACAGCAGAGTGCTGTGTGGATGGCTCCTCCAACTTGATGGACGTCGTGATCAGGAGTGCCGGCTATTCCGATGGGAACGAGGCAGAAGTGTCTTAGAATTTTGGGTGCCCTTAGCATTCTTGCAAACAGAGGTGCAATAGGATCTCAAGTTTGAGATGTGCAACGCGAGGCAATAACAATGCCCCTCAACCCTGAAACTAATTTCAGCCAAGGCTTGGGACGTACTATACGGTTACTGCACAAGCATTATGGGGACCTAATTATGCGGGTTTCTGCTGACGACTTATAGCTGGGCGGAAACGCTACTTACCTTAAGGGTCCAAGGACTCAGAGAATAGGGTTTTAGGGCCAAGTATAATGGTTTTTAGGCCCTAAAGCCCTATTATTTGGGTCCTTGGACCCTTAGGGTCTACTTATAATCCCCCCTGAAAGGCCTCCTCAGTCAGGATTGGGTTCCAGTCCAGCTGTACTGAATCCCATGGACTTCTAAGCAACCCGCTTTAGGGTTTAGGGGTTATAGGGACTCCCACAGAAGTCTTATTTTTTTTGACAACAGATGTAGCTTGAACCCCTCCAAGTGTGTGGACCTGTAATTACTGCCACCAGTCAATTAACGGTTGGATAACACTTGCAATATAGTTATATACACACAAATAAATATATATATATATAGAAAGAAATAGATAGATAGATAGATAGAGCCCTTAATATGACCCCTATTGTAGACTGTTAATGAGTAGGGAGACCCTAAACCCTGAATCCAATGTATAGACACCTTCAGGCATCCTTTTGGCTCAAAGGAAATCGGCTTCACTCGACGAGCGCGCGCGGTCTGACCGCAGTGATCCTTGCAGCTGGGCCTTTGGTTTAAGATTTGTAGGATTTGGGGTCATAGGTTTAGGGATCAGGGTTGGGGTCATTGGTTTAAGGGTCTTTATGGATTAGGATCTTAGGTTTAAGGTCTTTAGGATTTGGGGTCATGGGTTTGGATTTTCTCAGGGTGTAGGGTCCTTGGTTTAAGGTTTTGACGGTTTAGGGTCATTTCATGGGTTCGGGTTTTGTTCACGGGTTAGGGTCAATAGTTAATGGCTTACATTTTTTGCCATGGGGTGCTGGGATTTGTGTTTCTGAATTGGGTTCAGTGTTTCTAAGGGATAACGTCATACTACATGAGAATACTGTACAAGAAGCGGGCATCATCCCCCAACCGAATATGCAACCCGAAAAGGACCCTACAAAGGCTACTGTTTTTCTAAACAAGGGTTGTGTGAGCAGAATTGACAGAATTTGAAAGCAAAGATATTGTAGCCCATGATACAGAACAAGCTTGTCCCCTCCTTTTGGTATAATTAGTGCCTTAAATGGGAACAGAATTTTACTTGGTTCGTTCAGCACCCCGGGCAGCAAATCCTAAACCCACCAACCTCCCTAACCCCCTCTATATAAAGCCTCCAACCTACACCCAAACCCTTAACCCTCTAAACGCCAAACCCTAAACCTCAAACCCTAAACGCCAAACATCAAGCGCGAAGCCCTAACCCTAAGCCCTACACATCCTAAGCCCGCCAAGCCCCTAGACCGTAAACCTTGGTAGTCCTGTTGCACTTTTGGCCAGAGCTTCTGCCAAGGCTGTGGATGGCGAGGCGGATTTCTTGTCAAAACAAGGTTTAGGGTGCATTCCTTGTCAAAAAACTAGGTGCTGTTCTTGGAGGGTTTGGAGTTTAGATTTTGTGGTTTAGAGTTTGGGTGTAAGATCCTTATAGGTTTCTGAAGGACGGTGGCCGACTATGGCTTTTTCATTAGAGCTTGTCAAGGATCATTTCGAGAAACTTTTCTATAAGGTGGAAAACTAAACCCTAAACCTTGAACCCCTAAACCCTAAACCCTAAACCCTTGAACCCTAAAACAGCCAGGTGGTGGGGGCTCCCAAGACTTTCGACACCAACCAGGGATCGACGGAGCCCTTCGTCCGGCTCACAGTAAAGCTTGTTTAGGGTTTAACAGGGTTTAGGGTTTAGGGTTCATTCTAACCGCTAGCTAGCGTAACCAACTACTTTAGGGTTTAAGGTTTAGGGGGACCAATGTACCAATAGAAAATGGCATTGCAGCTCACATTTTCATATCTTTACGTACCATTTTTCAAAGGGCCTGAGGAAACCTCAATTAGAATTTGGTTTGTAGCCCCAAGCCCCAAGCCCTGAACCCACCCTGAAACTCCAAGTGAGCTATAGTCTGAATTCTTCCAAGGGGGGTGATATGGGGGAGCGCATAGGGTACTATTATTAAGGGGATACAAGGAGTTAGACTATAGCTCCTAAACCCGAAACCCGAAACCCTAAGCCCGAAAGCCTAAAGCCTAAGCCCTAAAGCCTAAAGCCTAAACCCTAAACCCTAAACCCTAAAGCAAGTATGCCATAAGCATGGAGGTTCGAAGCCTTTTTGGAGGCCCTGGCCAGCAGCTTATGCGGGTTTCCAAGGGTTCGGGGTCTGGGGGGAAAAGGTTAGAGGGTTCTGGCGTGTTAGCGTTTAGAGTTTTGGGTTTGGGGGTTGTGGGTTTACCCTAAACCCTAAACCCTTAATTGGGGTTTAGGGTTTAGGGAAGTCTGTAGGCTCTGAGCCCCAGAGCCCTCAGCCCCGACAAACAAGAACTAGGACCATTCTTCAGCCTGAGCCGCTTCTGAAACAGTGTAGGTGATACTCAAACCCTAAAAAGAATATGAGATCCTACCCTAGAGCTCCAGTTACTTAAATAATGCTATATACCCTATAGTTACATAGCCCCGTAGCCCACTATTTAGGTAACTAGGAGCCCTAGGCTAGATGATTGATGTAAAAAAGTATCCCGAAAATGAGCCAATTTTGCGGCAGAATAGGCAACCATCATTTTTATTCGAGGGTTGACCGGGGTGAATTTGGAGGACCTGGCAAGCAACACCACCATCCTGCTGGCAGTTTCAGATGAGGCGTCCTCAGGACTTTCAGAGACGGCCAAGGCCTCGATCCTACTTATTTAGACCCGTGATTAATAACCCCCCCCCCCTTTAAGGGCCTTAATATAGGGATCCCCATTATAATCCCTGTTAAGGGGAGGGGGTTTATTAATCAGGGGTCTACACCAGGGTGTAGGGCTTAGGGGTTGGGAGTTGTTCTTGCAGGGCAGTATCTTTAGACGTGCACTGGGTACTAGACATAGTGCCTCGGTTCTACACCATATTCGGGGATGAGCCTAAGGCACTTGGGTGTTTATGATGTGCTCGGCTGGATGCTGCTTCAGGGTTTGCAGTGGATTGCACCCCAAACCCTAAAATCCCAAAAACCTTAATCCTTAGAACACATAGCCCCTAATTACAAGTCCAAGCTTTGTAAAAGCCGAGCCTGCAACGTCTGCTTGGGAGGTTTCAGAAGCTAGGGACCCCTTTTGGGGGATCTCCGTGATAAGGAGTATACTATATGAGCAGCCGCAGCTATTTATGTAAGACAGTAGAAGGCTAGGCATTTTTGCATTTGGATTCAGCGTTCCTCTGGGAACTGGATTGAACGAGATAAGCCACAGTTTCTTGTGCAATAAGAGCCCAGCACATGTTCCAACATGGCGAACGAGATCAGGTGGTTCTGTCAAGGTACAATACAAGATTATAAATAGAAGGCGCACGAGATGGGGGTCGTGGATTAAAGATGCCGCATAAGGCCCAGGTAATAAACAAAAGCCGGCGCTCATATGGGGATATATATGTATATATTTATTTATCTACTTATTTAATGTCTCACTATTGATGGAAACACCCCCTTTAGACTCTAGTCCTCCTCACCCAGAACCCTTCAACGCTTGACTTCCAAACTAGGCCCCGCAGAAAGGCACCAAATTCCTAAGTCCTCAGCTCTATAAGCCTGTGATACCGCAATTGCTGCGACCTCGCCACACCACATGGTGGTGAATATCTTCCCTCAACATGAAAAGCCTCCAAACCTATAGAACAGACGTTTATATGTAATTTACATATGCTGGAAGACGTGTTCAGATGTTCGTTCGAGTATAGAGACGCGCTGAATAACAGCGGGGTGCGATGGATATGGATGGTTTAGGGTTGGGGGGGTTAGGGTTAAGAGTTTAGGGGATTATGTCAGAAGCTTCTCATCTTAGATCGTGCAGTGTTCCAACTTGACCAGTAGAAGGCCTGGATATACTGCGCATGTAGTAGGACTCTGCCACATTCACCTGTTCTTCGTGGTCGTCTCTAGTATTGAGTTGGAAAATAACTGAAACCTGAAACCCAAAACCTTGAACCTTAAAACACGAAACCCTGAACCCCACAAGCCCAGCCCTCAGTCGTAATTCCCGAGACCTTGAGCCCTGTACCCTTGAACATTGAACCCTCAACCCCAAACCCAAAACCCTTAAACCCCAAACCTAAAACCCTTAAACCCTAAACCCCAAACCTAAAACCCCTAAACCCTAAACCCAAAACCCTAAACCCTAAACCTCCCTGAAACGCTCAACTCCGATTCCAAAACCTTCGAAGGCCTTGATCCAAACTTGCGGCGGACAGCAGATTCTGCGCTG